TATAGGAATGTGTAAATAAAGTTATTACTGGCTATTTTGGGCTTTTTAAGAATATTTGAACATTTTCAATACAGCTTATATCATGTCCTCTTTTCTTGCCAAGATGTGAGAAAATAAGTCATATAGATGCTAGTGTGGAGCTTTTGGATTATTGTGAGTTGAACGAACCTCAAACTCTGGTGCACTGACATCTCTTCTTATCATCTGCAGGACATAGGTATTGCTAGGCACAAGATGTGGAAATTTTCATAGAAGAAGAATGATGATTGTATTCTCAAACCCAAATTTGTCAGGTTTTGATGATGTGGATTATTGAAACTTACTTTATGAGTGATGCATTCTATCCAGAGGAATTTATATTGTTATTTTGTGATGTATTGCTGTTTCAAAGTTTAATTATTACAATATGAATATATTTGCATTTGTTAAACAGGATGATATTTTAGTTGACTGATCAGCAGTACTCAATGTTTGACACTATTTTATTGACACCAAATTGTGTGATAATAAGAGATGAATTTAATCGCTACTATAGCTTTTTCCATGTGATTAGGGAATTTAGCCTTTGTATTTTTGTGTTTTGCAACTTGTCATTTTTCTTAAATACAGAAGGGAGTTTTTGTGTTAATAGAAGGATTGTTGAGCTTTGTGTTTTCTTTACTGGTAATGGGTTATCATTGGCATCTTCAGTTACCAAAGTAACATTAAACCATCACATAAATAGAGGTTTATTTTTATGTAATGAAACAGAGTTTGTGTGTATGTATTTGTTTGTATGTAGGTGCATTTGTTTATTTGTTTTTCTTTTTAGTTCATTCACTCATTCATTTATTCATAAGTATGTGTGCATGGAAATGAGAAAAGGAATATGTGAGTCTATCAGTGTATTTATTTTTTCTAGTGATTTTCTTTATAGAAAAGGGTAGTAGTCAGTGTTAAGAAGAGACAGAGTCTGAGGAAATCTTGACAGATGTGAACTGCAGGAATTTATGAGTATGAGTCCAGATGGAAAAGCTTTAGCCAAGATTTATTTAAAAAGTTGTATGGGAAAATAGGAAAAAAAACAAACAAACATGAAAAATACAAAAAAAAAATGAAGAAAAAAAGTATTTTTAACTGAATTTTTGTATGCTCTTTTTTGTATATGCCTGATATTTACACTTACTCATTAGCAGATATTTTTATTGAAACCATAAACAAGCAGCCCTTATTACTGCTTCACTTCAGTCAGAACCAAGTTTCAAGTTTCAGACAATGATTCTTGTTGCTTATTCTTCCAAATTTATTGACTTGTTTAGATTCAACTTACAAAGAAAAGAAAAAAAAAATTAATATCCTTCACCTTTCCACAGACATCCCATCTTTTCTTTCTGTTTTCCTCCCTTTCCCAAGTAAATATTTCCTGATTATGTGAACTATGTATTTTTATGATGAAAAAAATCAGAACTTCATAAGCAGAGTGACAAATGAGGAACAACTTGTGTTGAATGGAACAAGTTTTGCAAACCAGGGCTGTGTGTGACCTTAATGGATGTCGTCTTCAAGCATACAAAAGAGAGAAAGAGAAACAGATAAAAGACAATGAGCCCTTTAATGAGTTCGTATTTGCCTCTTTATTTTCCTTTTTTCCCTTTTCCTTTTTTTTCTTCTTTTTTTTTCTTTTGTGAATGCTTCTTTGTCCAGAGCTTTGATTGACTCATGTTGCAAGTATGTGTCCAGATTTGGGACTTGAGTTACAAGAGCAGAGCAGATTCGAGCCCACTGTGTGTACCTTTCAGGTCATCACTTGAGATGACATGCAACTGGAATGTTAAAGAACTGGGAGTTAGACTTTGGGAGCTAGACTTTGCAAGTTGTCTCTCCCAAAAATAGTGATAATAACATACATTTAAATTGATACTGTCTGTTGAGAGTTGTTTAGAAAAGCATAATAATTATACCTTCTGGTTATACAAAATTACTTATTCTTCTCTTGTAAAATCATTAAACTCTCCTCTTTGCTTGCAAAGATATTATCTAAATGTAAACACTTCTTGTATTGTCCTGTCCTTTACAATAGGCTCACTCAAACCTCTTCTTTCTCTCAGTAACATACTGTGTCCTCAGTTGCATTAACTTTTGTATTTTAGACTGCATATGTGTTTATTATGTCAAACCTTGGGTTATCTTCATTTAATGAAGATGATGATGAGACAGTTGCAAACACTGTGTGATACTCTATGATTTTTGTGTCATTAGAAATTATTTCAGTTAAACTTGATCAGACTGTTGTCTTCTTGGTGTTTATTTTGTTTATATATATATATATATATATATATATATATATATATATATATATATATATATATATATATATATATATATATATATATATATATATATATATATATATATATAATTATATATATTATATATATTTATATTTATATATATATATATATATATATATATATATATATATATATATATATATATATATATATATATATATATATATATATATATATATATATATTTATATTTATATTTATATTTATATATATATATTTATATATTTATATACATATATATTTATATACATATATATTTATATATTTGTATATATACATATACATATACATATACACACATATATATATATACACACACATACATATGTGTGTGTGTGTGTGTATGTATGTATGTATAATATATATATATATATATATATATATATATATATATATATATATATATATATATATATATATATATAAATATATAAATATATATATATATATATATATATATATATATATATATATATATATATATATATATATATATATATATATATATATATATATAACATTTTTATTGTCATTATTTTATGATATTTTTGTATGCTATATCTGAAACCAAAAATTTAATTAATTATAAATAAATTACAGATTATCTGTCCGTGTTCTTAGAAATTATTCTCTTCTAGCTGAGAAATAATCATATCAGATGATAAATGAAGCTTTACAGTTACTGGAACTGATACAAGGAAACAGATTATAGGTACTTTGTTTTTTAATATCTGTGTTACTCATGTACATTGAGGCCATAGCAAGTGGTAGTGACACATGAAAGTGATGGTCATGCTCAATTATATGATTTATCAAATGGTTTATTGTTCATTTGCTTCTCAATATAATGTTGAATTGAGATATTTTATATGGGGAAAATCTATTTGCTGTACATATTAATAAAAGGCATTGAAGAAGGTAATGAAGATAAATGTTATATTATTTAGACCTTTCTTGACACCCCTAATCCCATGACAGTCACTGGGCCCAATGTTTGGGAATCAGCCCTCAGCCCAGGCAATTTTGCCCCCCCCCCCCCCCAATCCCTTGCCCGTGGTTGTTGTGGGGGGGCTTAGGAGGCAGAGACTGGGACCCAATGATGGGGAACTCCCCAACCTTGGGACTCAGCCCTCGACTCAACTAATTTTGCATGGTCTTTTTTCCCTCCCTACTTTTTCGTTTCTGTCCCTTCACCAATCCCTTCTACTATCCACCTCCTAAGGTGTGAGAGCCGTGCTGAAAGGATGAAAGGCTGACTTTGTGCCAGTCCTGAACGGCCTGAGGGAGCCATGGCCACGGTATTCCCTTGCTTAGGCCTAGCTCTTACCCCTCAAGGGGACCCTGAGGGGTGGACTGTTTCTCTCCCCAACATACTCCTGGCTTACCATGGCCAATAATGAAAACGTAACCCCACTATTAGGGGCAATAAGGCTTGCCCCTTCATCAAATAGCCCCAACAATTCAAATCCTCCCGATTCCCTGACCCCAGGCTCTCCTTTGACCACGGCTCCGAACACTGCAACAACTACCCCCCTACTCAATGCCTACTAGTACAGTAGTCAACACTCAACCCCCTAGAGACATTCCTACTCTCCCATCATGCTCAACACCTCTACCTCCACAACCTTCTACATCAACTACCCCATCCTCCCTTATTAATACCTTACAGCCTTATTGCCCACCTCTCCATAACACTACCTCTCTCAACACTACTCCCTCTTCGACACGCCCCCACCCTTCTACTACCCCTATCTCTACAACAATACTAAATACTCTATTTAGCCCAGCCAAATGGGACCGATTTTTCGTGATCCCTCCCACAGCTCCCTACTCTGACAACACCCTTCTCTTCCAGCAATGTCTCCAAAAACAAGTAAGCAAAGTCTCTTTCCGTAGCCGACCCGACCGCTCCCGTCTCGTCACAGTAACATCCGAAAACCAAGCTATAGCATTAGCAAAACTAACTGATCTATATGGTAACCCTATCCTTGCAGAACCTCATCCAACCCTCAATACTTGCACCGGAACTGTATCTATCTCCCCAGCAAACTGCCCAATCTATTGGTCAGATTGTGAAGAAGACTTACTCGCCTGTCTCACTGACTATGATGCGACATCAGTACAATGCTACTCCATTCCTCCCAGAGGTCATCGTAAGAAACCCACTAATATCGCCAAAATTACTTTCCCTAGATATGACCTCCCATTTAATGTTTACATAGGTGGAGAATCCCTCCCTGTCCGACCATACCAACCTCCTCCTCGTCAGTGCCAAAATTGTTGGCGTTTAGGACACCCAGCCGAACATTGCCGTTCTACAGCCAGATGCCCACTATGTGCCCAACCTGGCCATACTCGATCAAACTGTTCTGCACAATCACACACATGTGCCAACTGTGGTGGCCCTCATAATGTATTTTATAGGGGCTGCCCCACCTACAAAGTCTGAGGTAGCAACTCTCAGATTCAACTTGGACTCACACTACGTGAAGCCAGACAGGAAGCACGTCGACGAGGTTTTTCTCTTAATACTTACTCCAGTAATATTGCTCATTCTACCACTTCCCCTATCTCACAAGCTCCTACATCCTTTCCTAAACCTAGAAATCCTTTATCCCACAAAACTCCCCAACCAACTCCATTGAAGAAACTCTTGAAAATATTCGACTTCTTAATGAAAACTGACACTCATCAACCTTCAAATCCTACAACTCCTGCTCCCTCCACACACCAAGTGACTGCCGATATCCATCCTCCTCCTAACGATATCCCCCCTACATCCCTATCCTCCTACCCCCTTCCCGAACACAGCCCATCCCCCCCAACTCCAACCCCACCCACATTAACCCTCCCACCATCCCCTCTATCCCTTCCACTCCCTCCTGAATACACACGTGAATCCCTTATATCACAAGCATCCCCTTCCACACCCGTCTAACACACCCCTATCTGATGTCACAATCCGATCCACCCCTATGCTCCTTATGTAATGTTCCTCTTTCAGTCTCACACATTCTATTATCATGCACACGTTTTGAAGCAGCCTGTAGCTCTGCTACATGACCTCACTAACTTAACATTTACTATAGTGCTACATGACTTTAGATGTCTAGCACATTTATTTTGCCTTTAACCATTAACCATTAACCAGGCAATTTTGTATGGTCTTCTCCACCTTGCCCTTTCCTTCTTTTCTCCAATCCCTTCTTCTGTCCACTTTCTAAGATGTAAGAGCCTTGGTGAAGCAATGAATGCAGTTTTTGTGTTGGACCTGAACAGCCTTAGGGAACCATAGGCACAGCAACAGCATGGTTAATCGTTTAGCCCTTACCCCACATTGGAACCTGAGGGGTTGACCGTTTCTCTTCCCCATAAATACCAGGCTCACCAGGACCAAACATGAAGTATTTGTACCCTTATTTGGAACACTGGGGCTTGCCCCTTCTTTAACAAGCCTATCTGGAATTGACTTTTCTGGTTCCCGATCTCTGCCTTTTCTTTGATCACATCTCCAAGCACTGCTACTACAACCTCCTCTTTGAAAATTTGCTTTCAACTTGGTCCATTCAAAATCATCCACCCAGGCCTTTACTCAACCTTAAGAGTCCGTCCCTTCCTCTTTCAACATTCTCCACTCATTACTACTACTCATCCATATTGTCGTCCTCCCTTCCTCACTCGTCACCACTCCCTTGTCTGTCTACTACTACCACCTCTACAAACCTGTTGAGTATTCTTTTTT